ATCGATTAAACTTCATAGGTTACAATAAACACATCAAGCATAGAAAGGCACAAAACTTTATTATTTGTGAATATAGCTGCCCTTTTATACTTTTAAATTATTTTAAATGATTGTCTTTCAAAATCGTCATGCAAGGTTCTATTTCTTTTGTTGTAAGAAATGAACGCGGGTCAGTTGGGTTTCAGAAAGGCAGGAAGCAGATGTTCAATGGGTCATGTGGTGTCACGCTGTGGTTTGCTGAGTTTGATTGAATCACGTTATCACTGTTCTTTAGGTCTGTTGTTTTTGCAGGCTTGAGGGTATCAGTTAATGTACTCGTCCTTTTCCTGTTGGATATAATAGTTCCATATATTGTGCGATCACGAGACATCACGAGGTATCTATAGGTTGTGAAATAACTTTTTAGTTCTCGATACAAAAAGATCTCTGTTGTCTCCTGATTGGATTAGTTTTTGATCACTCTTCCAATTCTTCTGAGGAGGAGATAACGACAAGGGTTGATGGGAAGTCAACCCAGAATAATCACGTCATGTGATGGGGTGATTAGTTTAGACCTCATGATGGTTGATTCAATGGTGTATCTGTTCATGATAGAAATCCTACAAAGAGGAGGTTTGACGAGAGAGTGGTCGCTTCATCCCTTGATGCCGGTGATCGCGTTCTGGTGAAGAATGTTAGACTGAGAGGAAAGAATAAGTTGGCGGATAAGTGGGAGAAAGGAGTATATGTTGTGATCAAGAAAGCTGGCGACTTACCAGTCTATACCATTCAATCAGAGGGCAAGGATGGGCCACTTCGCACATTGCATCGTGATCTGCTACTTCCCTGTGGATTTCTGCAAAAAGAAAAAAAAACCTGAGGAACCAGTAAGCCCGAAGAAACCCCACAAGCCTAGAACTCGAGCAGATCCTGTTTCAAGAGAGTCTGAGAGTGAAACCCAGGATTCTGAATCTGAAGATGACTCTGCAAGTTGTTACACACCTGGGTACTTACCGAGAATTGAAAACAGAATCCTCTCCAATTCTAAACCTGAGCAGCAGTCAAGAAGTGGAGTGACAGCAGACGTTTTTCCTAAAACGAGAACTGTGATTAGTACAGATACTGAGCAACCTACTCCAGTGAAGTCGCAAGTGAACTTACCTGACCAACCTGATGTCAGAGATGGAGTTCCATATGATGAACCTGAAAAAGGAAATTCAGTAATGAAGAACCCTACAGGTACGGATGTGCTGAGTAGCATACCTGTGCAGGATCAGGAGTCAGATGAACCCTCACCCGGGACTTTCAGTGGAGCGGATGAAAGGAATGATGCTCTGACACATGGAGGAACAATTCATTCGACAAGTCCTTGAGACAGCCCAATGGAGACTGGTCAGAGTCTAGAAGATGCCCCCAGACGTTCGCAAAGACGCCATGAGCCACCGAAAAGGCTACAGTATCCTCAATTAGGTAATCCCCTTTCTCTGGTCATACAGTCCTTACTGCAGGGGCTTAGCACAGCTTTCACTGCTTCATTGGAGGAGCCCGATTCTCTTGGAGATACCCCTATGTAAATGTGTGGTGGATGCCCTTCTGCATTGACTTTGCAGCCTAAAGGATGCAGCGGGACGTGCATATCTTCAAGGGGGGGGGAGAGTGTAACCCGGGTAACCAGGTTACCAGTTAGAAGATTAAAAATGATTTAAAAATTAAGTTGAAGAAAGCTAAGAAAAGGAAAAAGGGAGGAAAGTTCCAGAAGGAGTTTCGTCCAATCACTGTTCTCATTTCGGTGACTGACTTTCCTAAGAGCCAGTGTTAACAGCACATTCATAAGTCCCGCCCACAGGCTGCGCGGGCGCTGCTGCTTTCAGCAGAGAGAGAGACGAGAGCAAATGAGACAGCAGCACGGAGCGTTTCTCCAGAAACTCCCTGCGTTAAACATTGATCTAACGATAAATGTGATTGAGTGCACTTGAAAAGTGAAACTTTCAAAGTTGATGTGTCAGCCTGAGGTGTTGTCGTCAGAAAGCGAAAGAAGAGTGAAGTGAAAATCGGAGGAGTATAGACGGAGCGGATCCCAGAGTGTTGAAGCCCTATGATTAATCTTCCTTGTGAGAATATATCATTTTATTCTGCTCTGGCTGTTTTTTTTTTCCTGTTTCTTTCTATGAACATGATCTCCTGCGAGAGTTTCCTGTTTTGTGCCAAACGTAATCCTTTGGTGTGGAATCATCTGGGTTCGTACGCGATTACATGTGCATACATGGCGAGCTGCCCACGGACCTTTGAACTGTGATTTGAAACCATCAACTGGTAGGAGAATTCCAATTTTTCTTGTTCTTTTGGACACAAAAGACTCTGATACTTCGAACTTGTTTGATTTTTACTTCTGAAACGGAGAGATTCATCTTTTAAACTTGAACTGATCGAACGAGTGTTCGACTCTCTGAACTGAATCATTTGATTCACGAATTTGGATCAATTGGGTCGTTTAATTCACAAACTTGTTCAAATGAATCAATTCATTCTTTCTTGTGTTTTCAATCAATATTGTTGAATATACTGTTGAGTTTTGAAAGAAAAGGGAGGAAAGTTCCAGAAGGAGTTTCGTCCAATCACTGTTCTCATTTCGGTGACTGACTTTCCTAAGAGCCAGTGTTAACAGCACATTCATAAGTCCCGCCCACAGGCTGCGCGGGCGCTGCTGCTTTCAGCAGAGAGAGAGACGAGAGCAAATGAGACAGCTGCACGGAGCGTTTCTCCAGAAACTCCCTGCATTAAACATTGATCTAACGAGAAATGTGATTGAGTGCACTTGAAAAGTGGAACTTTCAAAGTCGATGTATTGAGAATTGATTTGAAAGAAACAGACACAGTTTTGTTTTTGAGAATTAATTTTGTCACACTGTGTGAAGTGCGCGAAACGTCATCAAACTGTACTGAGGTTGTTGAACTGTTAAATTCTTGGTCCTATAAGAGATAACAGAATAATTTGTGACAACTGTTCAGGTACTACCAATTAATTGTAAATTTGTGATACTTCTAATTGAAACAAATTACAAAGAGATAATTTCTTTTATCAATATAAATTCTTATATAAATCAGAATTAAACTGTGTTGACTATTCACTCACCAGTAGCATCATATCCTCTCTCCAGTAGATGTTCCTTTCTTCTGATCAATTGGCCCATACTGAACACCATTACTAGGTGTAGCACATCAGTTACATTGTGAGCTACATACTACACTAGCTTAGAATGCGAGAGGTAGCGGAATCGATGCCTGCATTCTCCAAGCTGGGACCTGCCCTTTACTCTCACTTCCCTAAAGAGACAGACTGCGTGTTGGCGCTCCTTATGTGAGCTTTTGGGGCTCACTGGTGGCCGTCTGGGAGGCATATAGTACTGTGGCTGTGTGGAAGCAGTTAGACAGAGGGGTTGGAACCCAGTGAATTTTGGTCAGTGGCCCCATCGAACAAAAGGAAAATACAGGTGACATCTGCCAAAACCAGGCACCTTTAGATCTTCAGTCTAACACTCTCCCAACTGAGCTATTTTGGCCCCTACCACAAAAAGTTAAGTCAGCGGGTATTTCTGTGAAACCACCAGTCACATTACCAGAAGAGGAGAGATGAACTCCCAGAGTATAAAAGCAGCTGGCCCGTATGTGTATCGAACCCACGACCTTGGCATTATTAGCACCACGCTATAACCAACTGGGCTAACTGGCGTGGCTTTTTCTGGACTTATGCCCGATTGATCAAAATCTTCATAATTGCTTGTGACCCTAAAGAGACAAAATAGCTTCAGGACCAAGCCTCACCAAGGGCTCGTCTGGGATTTGAAACCAGGGCCTCTCGAACCCAAAGCAAGAATCATACCCCTAGACCAACGAGCCCACCTGTGCAAGAGTCTAGCCGAGAGAAAAAGAACACTAGGGCAACAACAAAAGAAGGAAAATGAACTAACATGGAAGTAATCAAACACCTCGAGACAGTGTCAAAAGCAAGCAAATGAAAGTTGGCCTCTAAATAGATTTAAAAATGTGGCTGGACCTAACATTTAGAGGGATCTTAGGGAGGACAGTTGAAACGGCCAGATGTCCCGTAGACTTTAAGCCAGTGTTGGAAACCGAGTGGAGAAGTTGGCTGCACGACCTGAGTGATCCAAAGGTTGCCTACGTAAGGAGAGATGGCCTCTTTTTGTTAAGCCCGTTATAAAAGCAGTCGCTCTTCGAAGGTGTCTTTTTGGAGCGATGGACGTCCCTACACCGTGGTCAGTGGAATTAGCTCAAATGGTAGAGCGCTCGCTTAGTATGTGAGAGGTAGCTGGATCGATGGCCGCATTCTCTGAGCTGTGACCTGCCCTTTACTCTCCCTAAAGAGACAGACTGCGCGTTGACACTCCTTATGTGAGCTTTTGGGTCTCACTGCTGCCAAAAAAATTTTTCACACCGATTCCCGCGCAAATTAGTGGCAAAACAGGGATTTGAACTCGGATCACTGGATTTAAAGTCCAGAGTGCTAACCACCACACCATGGAACATTGACAGGAGCAGCTACTGCTCACAGGGCAGCAAAGACTAAATAACTTACAGGCTAGCCAGCAGAAGTGCCTAACTGGTGCTTTTTTTTTTTTCCTGCTGCAAGAAAACACGCAGGTTCCACCGAGATTTGAACTCAGAACGCAGTATTCAAAATCCAGAGTGCTAACCATTACACCATGGAACCAACAAGGGCTGGTTGGTGGCCGTCTGGGAGGCAGATAGTGCTGTGGCTGTAGGGAAGCAGTTAGACAGAGGGGTTGGAACCCAGTGAAATTTGGTCCGTGGCCCCATCGAACAAAAGGAAAATACAGGTGACATCTGCCAAAACCAGGCACCTTTAGATCTTCAATCTAACACTCTCCCAACTGAGCTATTTCGGCCTCTACCACAAAAAGTTAAGCCAGCGGGTATTTCTGTGAAACCACCAGTCACATTGCCAGAAGAGGAGATATGAGCTACCAGAGAACAAAAGCAGGTGGCCCGTATTGGTATCGAACCCACGACCTTGGCATTTTTAACACCACGCTATAACCAACTGAGCTAACCGGCCTGGCTTTTTATGGATTTATGCCCAATTGATCAAAAACTTCATAATTGCTTGTAACCCTAAAGAGACAAAATAGCTTCAGGACCAAGCCTCACCAAGGGCTCGTCTGGGATTTGAATCCAGGGCCTCTCGAACCCAAAGCAAGACTCATATAGATGTCCCGTAGACTTTAAGCCAGTGTTGGAAAACGAGGGGAGAAGTTGGCTAACCGACCTGAGTGATCCAAAGGTTGCCTACGCAGTACAGGAATCCACACAAATACATACTGGGGTAACAAGACCAAGTGGGTCTTAAAAACAAAAGCACAATCTCTTTGTTAATTCTACAACTAAATGGCAGCCAGTGCAAAGGTGCCAGTACAGAGGAGAGATGGCCTCTTTTCGTCAAGCCCGTTATAATAGAAGTCGCTCTTCGAAGGCGTTTTTTGGAGCGATGGACGTCAATCCACAATGGTCAGGGGAATTAGCTCAAATGGTAGAGTGCTCGCTTAGCATGCGATAGGTAGCGGGATCGATGCCCGCCTTCTCCAAGCGGGGACCTGCCCTTTACTCTCCATAAAGAGACAGACTGCCCGTTGACGCTCCTTAATTGAGCTTTTGGGGCTCACTGCTGCCAAAAATATTTTCAGACTGTGTCCCGCGCAAATTTGTGGCAAAATCAGGATTTGAACTCGGATCTCTGGATTCAAAGTCCAGAGTGCTAACCACCACACCATGGAAATCTGGGTTCTAACCAGGGACCTTTAGATCTTCAGTCTAATGCTCTCGAAACTGAGCTATTTCAGCCACAACTGCAAACTGTTAAGCCTGCGGGGATTTCTATGAGACTACACGTCACATTGCCAGAAGAGGAGAGATGAGCTCCAAGAGAACAAAAGCAGCTAGCCCATACAGGTATCTAACCCGTGACCTTGGCATTATTAGCACCACACTCTAACCAACTGAGCTAACTGGCCTGGCTTTGCTTGTATTTCTGCCCGATTGACCAAAAACTTGATAATTGCTTGTGAACCTAAAGAGACAAAATAGCTTCAGGACCAAGCCTCACCAAGGGCTTGTCCGGGATTTGAATCCAGGACCTCTCACACCCGAAGCGAGAATCATACCCCTAGACCAACTAACCTGCCTGTGCAAACGTCTAGCCGAGAAAAAAAAGAACACTAGGGCAACAACAAAAGAAGTGTCAAAGGTAAATGAATGAACGTTGGCCTCTGAATGGATTTAAAAATGGGGCTGAACCTAACATGTAAAGGGATCTTAGTGAGGACAGCTGAAAGGGCCAGACTTCCCGTAGACTTTAAGCCACTGTTGGAAACCGAGGGGACAAGTTGGCTGCACGACCTGAGTGATCCAAAGGTTGCCTACGTAATACAGGAATCCACAAAAATACATACTGGGGTAACAAGACCAAGTGGGTCTTAAAAACAAAAGCACAATCTCTTTGTTAATTCTACAACTAAATGTCAGCCAGTGCAAAGGTGCCAGTACAGAGGAGAGATGGCCTCTTTTCGTCAAGCCCGTTATAATAGCAGTCGCTCTTCGAAGTCGTCTTTCGGAGCGATGGACGTCACTCCACCACGGTCAGGGGAATTAGCTCAAATGGTAGGGCGCTTGCTTAGCATGCGAGAGGTAGCGGGATCGATGACCGCATTCTCCAAGCTGGGACCTGCCCTTAACTCTCCTTAAAGAGACAGACTGCGCGTTGACGCTCCTTATGTGAGCTTTTGGGGCTCACTGCTGCCAAAAATATTTTCAGACAGGGTCCCGCGCAAATTGATGTTAAAATAGGGATTTGAACTCGGATCACTGGATTCAAAGTCCAGAGTGCTAACCACCACACCATGGAAATCTGGGTTCTAATCAGGGACCTTTAGATCTTCAGTCTAACGCTCTCGCAACTGAGCTATTTCAGCTCAGTTGCAAACTGTTAAGCCAGCGGTGATTTCTGTGAGACCACACGTCACATTGCCAGAAGAATAGAGTTGAGCTCCCAGAGAAGAAACGCAACTAGCCCATACGGGTATCTAACCTGTGACCTTGGCATTATTAGCACCACACACTAACCAACTGAGCTAACTGACCTGGCTTTGCTTGTATTTCTGCCCGATTGACCAAAAACTTGATAATTGCTTGTGAACCTAAAGAGACAAACTAGCTTCAGGACCAAGCCTCACCAAGGGCTCGTCTGGGATTTGAACCCGGGACCTCTCACACCCGAAGCGAGAATTTTTATTATTTATTATTTTTTTTTATTGAATAAATTTATCAATTCAAACATACACATCAATCATTTAACATATTAAAATACATACGATGATTTCTTTGACATAAAACTCCTAAAATTAAGAGTTTACAGACATCTTACTTACAAACATTTAAAAAAGGAGTCATTGAATGGTTTAATCTTTTAAAAATGACAATTCCATCCCCAAGTCATTTAAAACCTTTAAGACCTCCTGAGTAAAAACACAATAAAAAACATCCATAATTTCCTCAAACTTAAAAAAATAAAACAGGCATTCAACATATTTCTCAACTTTTCTCTTAAACACATTCCACACATCAAGTAAAACATTTTCCTTTTTTACCACCACCCTTCTTTCCCATACTGCACTTTTCATCAACATCACAAGTAAATTAATGATGTCGTTATCCATTAATCCGTCCATTGTAAGAAAAAACAAAAACAAAAAACAAAAACAAAAAAAGAGGGGTAACCACCCTCCAGCCAGCAAAATGCTGCTGTTAGGTGGTTTAAAACTGAAAAACCACACCAAAAACTAACCTAAAGTCCAAAACAGCTCACAAACAAACACAAAGAGAAAAACATAATGGAGGAGAGCCTTCCTCTCCCAAATGCAGCCAACACTTCCTGTAGCTCTCTAGCGCTTTCAGGGTGGTATGGTGGTCGCTCTTCGAAGGCGTCTTTTTGGAGCGATGGACGTCACTCCACCATGGTTAGGGGAATTAGCTCAAATGGTAGAGTGCTCGCTTAGCATGTGAGAGGTAGCAGGGTCGATGCCCGCATTCTCCAAGCTGGGACCTGTCCTTTGCTCTCCATAAAGAGACAAACTGCGCGTTAAAGCTCCTGATGTGAGCATTTGGTGCTCACTGCGTCTAGCCAAGAAAGAAAAGAAGACTAGGGCAACAACAAAAGAAGTGTCAAAAGTAAACGAATGAACG